CAAATAAAGGATCTACCATCTTACCTAGGCGGTGCTGTGTTTCAAAATGGTAGCGTCTGCTTCCGTTTGAATGTCGGGCTCATACTACTGCAGGGGGGGGGGTGATGGAGCCTCAGTAAACAGGAGTCACTGAAGGAACATGCTCACACAGACGAGAGAAGAAGAAGAAGAAGAGCTTCTAAATCAGCACAGGACTCATTATTTACTGTGATATAATAGTGAGTGATGAGAAGTGTAGTCCAACTACATGAGATATAGTCTTAACGAGCCTGCATCACTGTGAGAGCTGTTGTATTTCAGTAATACAGTCAAAATGTGTAATGTAAATAATAAATAGATCCGAGAATTCTTAGTCCCAATGTTGAGAAAATAGCAGCCGGAGGAAGATTAACCAGATATAAAAACACAAGAGACAGAATTTAAAGCAACAACCTTTTTTATTGACATGTAACATCCTCAGAAATACAAGTTATCTGGGTCCAGTGGGTTTGAGGGGGGGGGGGGGTGTTATATCACCACCACCTGAAAATATCTATACTTACAAAAAAATAAACTCCGAAGAGCCTTTACTACATTTGTGTTATTTTTGAAATCACACACGCAGGCCCTACATTCACGTTGCCTTCACTGGCCTCACACAGAAATGGAAAAAGGACACCAAGAGAACATTTGGAGGGAAATTCAATAAACTCATTCAGGCCCGACCAGAACGAGACTGATGCTCGATCTGAAACTGAAGTCAATGGAAAACTTGCTCCACGTTTCAGCAGGTGAAGCATCTGAACGTTCATCGATCACGTTTCAATCATCTCTGAAGCTCAACAGTTGGTTCCACGATGAAAGAACAGCTGAGCACTTAACCCCCCCCTCCCCCTCATAACTTTTACCCCCACTTGCCCTTTCACTCCGGATGGAATTCGACTCCCTCTCTCCTGAGCTCCTTCTAACCTCGTTTTACCAGAGTCCCTGACACCACCTCATGGATTGAAGATGAAGACGCAGGACGTGTCTGTCCCCCTCAACGTGTTTTTCACTTGGCTAAGCTAAGTTTTCTTCCCCAGTGCTCTCCATCGTTCCCTGTTCCAATAACACGCTGTGGCGAGTCCAAGGCTGAACACTAGAATCCGTGATCCTGAATGATATATTTCTATATATATTTATTTATCTTTTTACGCCACATCATAACTTGTTTTTGTCCGAGCCCGGCCCGACCGTCAGGCTCAGGTCTAATATCCTCACTCTGATCCACAGTTGGACAAACCTCCCTGTGTTGGTAACCTGATGGTTTTTACGACTCCTGCTCTTTTAGGACGCTGTCATAATTAAATGAGACACTTTAATATTAAACTGGGGGCGTTGATCTCCACCAGGACAAAACAGACACCTCACATCAATCTAGATGCTGACGAGATCGTTGTGTCCACTGGTTATCAAACATAAAACTGAATTAATGGACATGAAGCTTATCAGAGGGGACGGTCCCAAAGTCCCGGCCTTTTTTCTTAAGTGTTAGTGCATTAAACAGGAACTGTGGAGCAGCAGCGTTTGATTTCATCACAGAGAAAAATCTATTTCTTTTGTTTGATTGTCCCTCAGACGTCTCGGCCTCAGCTCTGAGCTCTGCGTCTTCTTTCTCTCTTCCTGTTCAAACTGGCATCAGTGTTTGTTCCCCGAGGTTCACAGGTGAGCTGCCGGCGTCTCCGCGCTGGCCTTGCTTCGACCTTTCCCGGCTATCGGACGGTCTCTCTCCTCCCACAGGGTGACCCCATCACAGGCACATATCTGTTTGGGGTTTTGGAAGAGGCCAGCAGATCGAGCGATGATCCCACAGGCCAGTCTTCAAACCGGAGGACAGACAGGAAAACGATCAAGGACGAATAAAAGCCAACTGTGATAACGATATGACAAATCGCTCCTGTTACCTACTCACCTTTCCCCAGAGTTTCCAGTCCGTGTGGAGAGTGGGTGACTCCCTCGGCCCAGGTCGTCCTCCCCCGCGTCCACGACCAGTGATCGGCCAATCACGTCCCACACCTGCAGGAACAGCATGGATGTCAATACACGAGAATAAAAGCTGTCATCTGGCATGGTTTATGAAATGAGATGCTGATTTATTCACTGTGCGTGTGTGTGTGTGTGTGTGTGTGTGTGTGTGTGTGCGTTACCTTTAACTGATTGTCTTCTAGTCGAAATGAGGCTCTGCCCGTTGGTCCAGCAACAACATTCCCCAGATCACCTACATGCTGCACATCAACGCAGCAGGTGAGAAATCAAACACGACCAAGATATAATGAAGAGAATCCTAAAAAGAGTTGCAGCAGCAGTTTCACACACTCGATAGAAAACGTAGCACCTGGAGCGGAGCGGCTCAAAATGTCTCCTGTGGGACAAATGTGTTTCCATTTGGCTTGTGAGGTTTTATTTGATGATTTAGTCAGAATTTATGAGACAGGAATATTTATTAACTCAAGGTTCAGTTGATGTTCAGGCTCAGAACGTATAAACATACGTGAGCATTCGTATGGGAGGTTTTTGGTGTAGAGCTCTAAAGGAACAGACGTGGCCGTACCCTCTCAGCGTCTCCTGGACCACCGTGCCGTCTTCCAAAGGGGTTGTAGTGGTCCCCACAACTGCAGGAAAGGAGAAGCTGGTTTGAATCCATTTTAGGACATGAAATAAGACCGTCAGCAGAGAGACTGACTGATCTGTCCTGAAGACGGATTGATTCAGTATCTGTCATTAACTGAAAGTTCATATGGTCAAAGGGCAGATTAGAAATGTGAGGGGAGACTGTGAACAAAGATGGACGACACGTCTCCTTCCTCATCCACTCTCTCATTTGAGTTCTGAGCTCGTTCAGAAGTGAATAAAAAGCAGGAACCAGCCCTCATCCTTCTGTCCATGTTGTTGCCTCGTTTTATACGTGAAGCACGTTGTGGTTGCCATGGCAGCCGTGTTTGATCGGTGAAGGTGAGAGATGGAAAACATTTAGTCCCTGATTCCTCTGAAATACAAATTCAGTTCCTGAGCTTTTTTCCTGAGTTTGTCTCTAACTTCACACCGAGTGTCATGAATTCAACCTCTCGTCACGCTCTCGTCCCACCTGCTGCAGTCCTGGGTCAGGTCTCCCAGGCTGTGGACGTGGAGGCCGTGGGGTCCGGGCTCCAACCCATCAATGGTCCCATCTATGAGGCAGCGCTCCTCCGATAACTGCAGGAAACGCACCACGCCCTGGATCTGTCCTCCACCCGCCAGCATGGCCACCGCTGATCCCAGATCTGCTGTAAAAGACCGAAGACTGAAGCAGGTGACCGTTCACATTCACAAAACTCCAACATTCAGCGCTGACAGCGTGACGACTGATCTGTGCCGGTGACCAACCTTGGTCTGATCCTCCGATGCCTTTCAGCACCGCCCTGCGTCCGGTGCTCTCGATCAGAGCCTGCACCTCCGCACTGGTCAGAGTCGACTCCACCAGCACCTCCTCCCTGCCCACGTCCACACTGACGGACCGGACTCCTGCAGCACATTCATGAAGATACATCACACACATGACGGCTGTATGTCTGGAGGAACATGCTTCTTACATACAGTCACAGATCACACACATGACGGCTGTATGTCAGGAGGAACATGCTTCTTACATACAGTCAGTCACAGATCACACATGACGGCTGTATGTCAGGAGCAACATGCTTCTTACATACAGTCAGTCACAGATCACACACGTGACGGCTGTATGTCAGGAGCAACATGC